TAATAGATAATCATACCCTTAACTGATTTTTATTTTATATATTCTAATTTTATTTGTAATAATATGATTATATATTTAAATAGTTTAATTTTAATAATTTTTTAAGTATATTTTTGTCTTTTCACTTAAAATATTTGAATTTCTATATTTTAATTTGAATTATTTTTTAAGTATATTTTTGTCTTTTTGTCTTAAATTTTTGAATTTCTATATTGTAATTTAAATAATTTTTTATTTCTATTATTTATTAATTCTTTTCTTTTTTAATGTTTTATAACATTATTAAAATTTTATAATTTTAATCTCTCTAATTTTATCTTACTTTTTATTTTATAAATATAATTTGGATTATTCATTTTATAATTAAATTAATTTTTTTAAATTTTTTATGAGTTTACATTCTAAGAATGTATTGAAACTCCTCAATCTTTGATTATTAGATAGCAACAACATAAATATTCTGATTATTAAACATTATGTTATAATTCTACTGATCGTACTATATGTTATTTTTAAATTTGAACTCCTAAACTTTATTTGTTATGTATGACATTTTATTTTGTATGAATGAACTTGTTTTGATTTACATAATTATGAATGATTTAATATCTTTAAATAGGATAAATCCGTGGGAAAATACGTCGGAAAGTTACCCACGGATAAAAATTCGTCGGTAAATATTTCAGACGAGCAATTTACCGACGGGTTAGTCAGTAATCTGTGGAAAATATACTATTACCCACAGATTTTTGACATTTCCCATGGATTTTGGCCGTCTGTAATAACGAATTTTCTTGTAGTAATACACACACACATATATATATATATATATATATATATACACATATATAAAGAACTATCATCATCCTACAATGTATGACAATCGGTATTTTAGTCAACTACGTTAAATTATTGAATTTTGAATCAGTGTTTGAACCAGTTCAATGAGCAGTTCCATTTTAAAAACATTAATAAAAACTAATATGTATGATAATTAGTATTTTAGTCATGCAATGCACCAACCTTTTATTATTTTTAAAATATTAAAGTTGTTATTTCAATTTTATTTATTATATAGTATTTAAGAGTTATAAAACATAAAATTTAGAGTAATGTCATAACTAACTTAATTTAGGTTTTGGAAAACTTCTTAATACACCACATTTAACAATAAAAAATACTTAACAAACTTAAAACACGACTTAAATTGTTTAACCAAAAATGTTAACAATATTCAAACTTCATGAAATATATAATTCATAAACAAAATAAGAACAAATGAAATAATTGACGATGAATAAATATTGAGACAAAATAATCTTTTTTTTTTCTTTAATTATTGTCACTTTTTAGTGGTCTCGGTGAAAAAAAAACGTGTGTATTTGATTCTTTAACGATAAATGTTTCTTTAAATTGGTTGATTTAATATTATTTCCGCTATTTAACTTTGGAATTGTCAACCACACGTGCTAAAACATGTATATAGGGATTAATCAAATTACATATTGTTTAATAATTATAAAACATATAAAGTATAGAAATAATAATTGCAAATAACTAATCCAATTTAAGTTTCAAAAACTTATTTGTACCCCACATTTGACTCGATTGAAGTATTTTGTTCTTCACTTTTTCATGAACAAAAGTTCGAATCCATTATGATTGGTCACCATGGACTTGTTAGGAACCCATCTAAACAGGGAACAAGAAAGGTCGAAACAAAGTAATTAAAATATATCTCTTTATAAATCACAAAGAATAGGAAAGGAATTACCCTTTCTTTCACACAAGGAGCATTCTTCTTCACACCCAGAAAAACTATGCCAAACTAATGTTTCCCTCTTGCCACTGAATTAATAGTTGTTACCTGTTCCTCAAGCTACATCACCACCCAAGTCCCCAAAGCTTTGGCCAAACTGTGCACAGTAACATTCTCTTGTAATTCTGATAACAATACAACCTCAATCGGGTGATTCCTAACAACTCACTTGAGCTGAGATACATGTTAGACCATGAGAGAAAATTGGAAGATATAATTGACTATGAGATAAAGTTTGTCTTC